AGGACCAACACACAAAGGGAGAACAACAGATCCTTTCAGTCCTCGGGAGTTGGGTCTTTCGTTCAAAACGGTCCTCTGTAGTAAGTTTGTGTGCTTAGTCTATGGGAGAGTGTTATATTACAGGGACAAAGGGAAACACAAAGCATTGTCCTCGCGAGTATAGTAAAACAAGAGTGTGTGCATCTTTATATACCCAAGACAAAAGAACATGTATGGGTAATCGCGAGGGAAGTCCATAGAAGAGTGTTATATTAGAGGGACAAAGGGAAATACAAAGCACTGTCCTCGCGAGTATAGTGAAACAAGAGTGTGTGCATCTTTATACCCAAGACCAAAGAACATGTATGGGTAATCGCGAGGGAAGTCATCGAACAGGCTGAACGTACGATATGCAAATCAATACATCACTTGGATAATACGTCACTTTGTAATCGTTATCAGTTGTTTGTGGTTCAAAAAAAAATGTATGTGTTGCATTTCTGCTTTTCTCTACTGGAGTCCTCGGAACACTGGATCAAATTCTCTTCGGGGAATCGCAATCCGCTTTGTATTTCACATGAAGCTGTAACAGTATGCTATTTTTATGGTTTCGCCTCACTGATGAATTATCAGTAAGACTACGGCCAAGTTCGGGCAAGGACCATTAGTCGCCTAGTGGTTGATTTGTGACGTACCTTACGCCTGCGCACTGATGGCAACGTGCTAACGTCTCTAGTCAAACGCTGGTCAAAATGTCATCGCAAAATTTCGGGATCCTGGATGTCTGCTAGCGTTATGAATGCGCGCGGCTATTGGTTACCAGCGAAGCAACCAACCCCAGTAGGCTGGTTCCAAATAGTCGACTAGCGTAGTCAACCACCGTCGACTAGACAGAGTTTGGGCAAACGTTAGTTAACCATTGGTCAACTACATGTATAGTCCTTGTGCGAACTTGGCCTACATTTATGACGTTCAGGTCTTGTTTTTACAAATCATTAGTTCTGAATGCCCAATGTAACTTTTTTTTTTCTTTGCACGGAAAACTTTCAGGATAATTTTTTTCAAATATTGCAAACACTGATGTGTGCTGTGTGTGTTCTAGGGATATTCAGGACTATATTAATATAAAATTCTTTCTTTGTGTGCATGTGTAGGATTTTACGTACTTGTAACAATCGGAATTATAGTGTGAATTATAATTATATAAAAGTTGTGGGTTTGGTTTTACACTAATACAAAAATTGGTGTTCATATTATTTTTGAATCACAAGGGCTGATTTCACAGAGTTGTTCAGCAAAGAGATTTGTTCCATAAACGTGCTTTACTGGTTACCAGTTGAATTTCTACATGAAAGATATTCCTTTGGCTGGTTCACTTTTAAATGCATAACAGCTTAGTGGAAATGGCCTTCCGTTTGATTAATTTGGAGATTACAAATTTATTCCATACAGTTTGTGATTACATATACATGTACCATGGTTTTCTGTAGAAACAATAAATCTAAGTTTTGAGTTGAAATCTTCTTTCATTGACTGAAAATGTGTGCATTAATTGTCTTCAAGGATTTGTAAGTAAAAACACAAAAATGACAACATGTCCCATCTCTATGTTTTGTAAACAGCTCAATCGGATCTCGAAAGCTGCGGGCCAACGATTCGTTTTCATGCATGAGTCACGTGATAGTGCCATCTAATTTCTGGAAGGAGTGTTTTGAATAAACAAATCAGGGTTTTGACCCCAGTGACCACATGACGACCTTTGACCCCAGTTTGGTCACGTGACATGTTGGGGCTGGGCTACCGATACTTTTGACAAAGTTTGGTTGAAATCGGTCAAAATATGTAGGAGCATTAGACAATGTCAACGTTTGTTACCAACAGCCTAACGGAGAGATGTGACGATTTGTTGGGCTGCTATCCCGCAGCTAAAATACATGTACAAGACAAGCTAGGCCCAGAGTGCACACAATTTTGTTCAATACAGGGGATTCACAATTGACCTATCGCGGTAGAATCGCGTCAACGCAGCTTGTGAAATATTATCCATTTACATGTATACAAATGGACGCAGAACGCGCAAAATCCGAGACAAACAAAAATTAACATACAAAATTCCATAGGGTTGTCTAAGGGGCGTGACTAACTCGCAAACGGCGATAGGTCAATACAGTGCGCCACCTATAGATTGCCAGGGAGAGTCCATTTTGCAAGATTTTGGTCGACAAAAACACTGCCAAATTGCCGCGATTTGAACGAATGTGAGGAGACATTTTTGAGGGAATTTTTGGTAGATCGGGGCATAGCATTCTGCCACCTCTCAAAAATACCATCTTGATAAAAATAAAATGACAGATACATGTACTCGAATCAGCTTACGAAACCGGACAAACTAACAATTTTATAACGTGTACTGCGCCACAGCGTGGCATGTGTTGAGCATCTCCCACAATGCACTGCGAAAAATGGAGTCTCCGTGGCAACCAATTGGGTGGCTTACTGTATTGGGATGTCGTATTGATTCAGAACGGCGATTCACTTGGAGTCTTTTCATGCATCTGGTCAACACAATGGGCCGGATTTCGCCCATTCATTGGCATTAAGCTAATTGGCATTAGGTAATCCTATACAACAGCACTGCCCAGTTCTCTTCAATCCACGAAGAGGACACTCGGCTGGCCCTCTGTGAGCAAAGAATCTAAATTGTTGTGAAAAAAAAAAAAAAGTGCAAGATTATAGATATAAACATTTCCAGAAGAAACGAAAGTTTATTTCGCCCTAATATAAATTACATAGTTACATAATTGAATATAAAATAATTATAAGATTTGAGGCTTTGCATGGTGGAGTATTGGTATCGTTTCGGTTTGCGGTAACACCATGTGGTAATAACTACTGCTTAGAAGATATTTAGTTCTGAAAAGAACTTGTCCTGCTTATTATCAACTTCGCTGAGTAGTTTTTGTTCTGATAAGAACAGTCCTGCTTTAAGTTCTAAAAGAACTTGTCTTTGGTCTCTAAAATAACTGCATTTGTTTATTTCTTTATAAACATTTCATATAAAATATGTTTTCAACTGATGTTGTGTGCATTATTTACATGCCTCATGAGACAGAGGCAGACTTAACTTAAAAATTCACACGGAAAAAACAACCTCATGAGCAAAATATTACACTTCGTGTCATGAGAGATCGATGGATTAAACTCTTTAACCTTGCACCATTCTGACAACGACGCATCTTCGACCCTTCAGAAACTGTAGCTGGCGCTGTTTGGCCTACTCACGAGATCAAATGGACACGTGCCCATGCTGGTACAGGCGAATGTTGAACTTCGTCGTATGCCTGGCAGAAGGGCATATGCGCGTACGCCTGGCCCTTATGCGCAAATGCGTAATCACCAAAACGTTCCCAGCATAAGGTATATGCAAAAAAACTGCCTCAATTTTGATGACACCTAAATATTTCCGTCAGAAATAAACACAAGTTGCTTCAAAAATTATGATTCATACGTGTGACAAAGTTCACATTTGTATGACTTTATATAATAGGCATTGGAGAACATTGGATTCATAATACCCGCGGGGAACACTGGAACCGTTCAATGCAATTTTCTTGAGAGTGATTTTCGCGTCAGAATGCTCATATGCCCTTCGCCGGGCACCAGAAGAATTGTACTCTAAATGCAACGCACAAGTACAACATACACAACCAACTAAAGCGCATCATAATGGTTCAAAAACGTCACAGCGAAAACCTTCTGCAGCGGATGCGCGCACGCATTTGCGTTGTTTGCGCAGGGCAAAATGAAATGCTCATTTACTGGTTGTGCGTATGGATTTGAGTATACATGTATCAGCTTCGATAACGCACCGGTATGGAATACAAACACAGATACGCAAATAGCCGTACAAAAGCCGTACACAAAATTTGGAGTTTTCCATAGTTATTTGCACAAACATGGATGCGCCCAGCAGGCATCACTTTGTACATCGAGTCAGCGCCCTAGTAATTTAATATAGGCATATGCTTCTGAGTTATGTATTAATTATTAGCACCACAAAGAAAAAAACCAACACCAACTTTTAGCGGAATTTATATGATACATCGCTTGCAAATATTACCCGGTTTTGATCATGGGGGAAAAAGTTCTGACTGAACATACGCTTGTATACTTGCAATGGCGGTACATAACAAAACAAAGCAAAATTAGTAAAGTTGGCTTTGTTTGAGGTCGTTTCATGTATCTTTATCTTCAAGCAAACTTGAATCCTTGATTCTGATTGGTCGATCCATGGCAACAACAGTCTGATATTATACTGTATGGCATGGTCTATATCGCACCCTGCGTATTGCGCCATTCCAAGTTACTAGCGACATTCCAACTGCTAAAAAGCTTCGCGTCAAGCATGCTAGTTCCATCTGAACTGTGCGTCAAGTTTGCTTGAAGATAAATTCGTTATCGCACTCGCGCTCGTGAAACATGGATAATGTAGTGCGTCTGTGTCCCACATACCACTTGGCCTTCAGCCTTGGCCAAGTTTGCGCAAGGACTATAGTAGACCAATGGTTAACTAACGTTTGCCCGAACTCTGTCTAGTCAACGGTGGTTGACTACGCTAGTCGACTATTTGGAACCAGCCTACTGGGGTTGGTTGCATCGCTGGTAACCAATAGCCGCGCGCATTCATAACGCTAGCAGAGAGCCAGGATCCAGAAGTTTTGCGATGACATTTTGACCAGCGTTTGACTAGAGACGTTCGCATGTTGCTATCAGTGCGCAGGCGTAAGGTACGTCACAAATCAACCACTAGTCGACTAATAATGGTCCTTGCCCGAACTTGGCCCTTGTGGTATGTGGGACACAGACGCACTACTTTATTCCGTGTTCTACTCGCTTTCGCACGATAACTTATAGTGTACATAATGGGCAGAAACCCATTCATTGGTGCTACAGGGTAATCCTATACAATAGCACTGCCCAGCTCACAAGTAACAGTTAGTCGGTGAGGTACACGATGGACTACGGACTGGCCCTCTATCGAACAAAATTGTCCATGTTTTACAAAGCCATAATTTATGGCTTTGGCTAGTATATGGGTTACAGTTTGTACAAGTTGTTTCAAGTGTCGTCCTCTGCCACACATTTCTCAACGAGTTCCTTCAGGTTAGGGTTCTCCATGGCTGCGGCTATCCTCTCCTTGTCGTTGATTTGTTTATTAACTACAGAAAAAAAGTGAAATTGCGTTAAAGCCAGAGTCCATCATTTACAGCTATCCAAAAAGTAACTGGCGTAATTATTGTTGAAAAACATACTTGGTTGAACGATAGTAAGTGGATTAAACTCCCTGTGAAATTATTCTTTCTGGCAAGCTGTCATTTTGAAGAAATCAACAAAAGCAGGCCTTTCCAACGGTGCTTCTTAGCACCGTAGGAAATTCAAATTAGTTGTTATTCGGCGAAGCGCGCGCAAGCATTGGCACGACGCACATGCACGCGCAGTTGCTATAATTCGTCGGATCAGTGCGCGACATCGCGTAGCTGCAATTGGCTCAGTGAGAACGTGTCTCGGATGATGAATTCAGGCCCAATTCAAAACATGATTTAGCAACTTTTGATTTGAAATCGAGATCCTAGAATGTTGTTTTTCTCGAAATATACAGCTAAAGCTGAGCTGAAACTTCATCAGGTTAGTTGTTCAGCACCCTTCTTTAGATCTTGAGCACTTTTGTTGCTTCAAATGAACAAAATGCACAAATTACAAATGATGGACTCTACCTTTAACCAAATTTTCTTACACGTAAAAGGAGCAGGCTTGATTCCAGTTGAAATATGGAGTGAAATAATATTTTCACATTGTTATTCATATTCTTTTTTTAAAGTGAAGATACAACATTTGCAAACTTACAAAAACGAAATGATCACATTATCACAAAATACTTAACTGGACTATTAGGGAACGACAGTCAAAAGCATCCTGTAAAATCGTAGCTCCTGGTGTGCTGACATTTTGTATTTTATATAACTTGTATTTTTCCAACGCTGGTCGGCCGACCAGTGCTGGAGAAAACTGGCTTTTTTACAAAAACTGCTTCTAATTTTTCAAATTTAGTTATTTCGCATTTTCTTTGCAATTGATCACACAACTGTGAAGGAGTACAAAGCCTGCTAGACTGATTCTCTGACCTTACAATTCCCCAAAGTCTATAAATTGCTCTGTTTCATCGTAAGTGGGGTCAGGGAACCAGACTACAAGAACATGATTGGTTTTCTTGGATTTTCAAGCATCTACAAACCCAAAACATGAAACAAGTCAGTTCAACAATATTTGCTGTAACATACTAATCCTCCAAATCCATTTATTTCTGAAAATTGCAGCAAAAGCAAATGTTGTACATTCCTTTTTAAGAATTTTTAAAGGTCCAAATTTTTTGAGCAATTAAAATAAACATTATTCTTTGATGAGCTATAAATGATAAAAATAATGGCCTGTTGATTTCACAAAATACTTGTACTTACTTTCATTTTCTGTCGCATGTGTTCCCTTGGTGATAAAAATGTCAACCTGATGCAAGAGAAAGACAAAAATGGAGGTGACCATTCTTAAAGCTATAGTCCATCATTTGCAGCTATCCAAAAAGTAACTGACGTAATTATTGTTGAAAAACGTACTTGGTAGAAAGATAGTAAGGGGACTAAACTCCCTGTGAAATTGTTCTTTCTGGCAAGCTGTCATTTTGAAGAAATCAACGAAAGAAGGCCTTTCCAACGATGCGTCCTTAGACGCACCGTTGGAAATTTCCGTTAGCAGTTCGTTTTTTTTATTCGGTGAAGTGCGCGCAAGCGTTGACACGACGCACACATGCGCGCGGTAGCTATAATTCGTCAGACCGGTGCACGACATAGCGTAGCAGCAATCGGCTCAGTGAGAACGTGTCTCGGACGCTGAATTCAGGTCCAATTCAACACATGATTCAGCAACTTTTGATTTGAAATCGAGATCCTAGAGTGCTGTTTTCTCGGAATATACAGCTGAAGCTGAGCTGAAACTTCATCAGGTTAGTTGTTCAGCACCCTTCTTTAGATCTTGAGCACGTTTGTTGCCTCAAATGAACAAAATGCACAAATTACAAATGATGGACTATACCTTTCATCTTTTTGATCATGTTGATCAAGTAAAGAACAGACGATCCCCACCCCACCCCCAAAAGGAGAATCTTTTGGACTGAAATCTTTGAAAAAACTGAAGACCTTTTTACAGTATTATTATAAAACATTACCTTTTGTTTCTGTGGAAGACTCCGATCCAGTTTTACCCTAATACACAAACCTGAAACAAAGGATAAACCATGAAAGAATTCAATAGTAGATGAATAGGGGTTTTTGAAATTAACTATATACAAGGCATTTGCAAACAGATAAGAAATACTGAGAAACTTTTTAAGGTTATACAACATTTGCTTTTGCTGTAATTTTCAGAAATGGATGGATTTGGGGTTAGTATTTTCTAGCAAATATTGTTACACTGACCTGTTTAATGTTTTGTGAAAAACTGCTGTACTTGTAGTCTGGTTCTCTGACCCTACCTCAGGCAAAACAAGGCAATTTATAGACGCCGGGGAATTGACAGGTCAGGGAACCAGACTAGCTGGCTTGCACCTGTTCACGGATGTGTAACCGATTGCAAACAAAATGTGGACTAACTAAATTTGGTAAACTGGGGACAGTATTTTTTCCAACGATGGTTGGCAGACCATCGTTGGAAATTGATACAAAGTTTCCACTAAGTTTCTTGAAAATGACAGCACACCAGGTGCCATGATTTCACAGGATGCGTGAGACTATTATTCACTAACAGTCAAGTAAGGTATATCATAATAATTTGATAGTTTTGTTTTGTGATGTTTGTATGTTACCTAAGTTAACCTAACAATGTATATAAACTGTTTACAAAATATTTACCAGCAGAAAAGAAACAGCAGCAGAAGACATTCCAAAACAGAAAAGACGAAGTCTCAGATTGTGTCTAAGGCCAAAAAAAAAAATACTCGGTCTCTGGTCAGCGCGCGCGTCGATTTTAATCATGCGTGTCAACCTTTTTTTTCTTCAAATTAACACAGAAGCTACAACCCTCTATTGCTGCGCCTCCTCAAATTTTTGTACCAAGGAGCACCAAGGAATGTTCGCTCGTACCCCTGCCCTGCAAACAGGACGCTGGTAAGGGCTGACAGCATTTGAGCTCTCGTTGGATAGATTTACGTGACCTGTGACGTAGAACGCGTCACACAAACTAGCTTCCGGTGCCCATCATGCGTAGCGCGCGCTAGCTGCATGCGAAGGTCAATCTGTACTTCCTTCACAAGATTCTGTGAAACTCATCAGCCCTTACCAGCGCCCTGTTTGCAGGGCAGGGGGTACGAGCAAACAAGGAATGGGGAAATTGCACCGAGGCAAATGATAAAGGGCACCAAGTCAAATTATGGAGGACACCAATGTATAATGAGGACACAAAAAAGCAAAATAGTACCCACCTTGTCTGTACAATACAAGCTTGAAACCCCCCCCCAAAAAAAAAACGCGTCGCCGCATCAATTCCGGAACTTCGGTCTGACCAGAGACCGACTTTTTTTTTTTTGGCCTAACACATAACTGTTCCAATCTTTATAAGCAGGTATAAAATAGGATGAAATTCAAACTACATAATCTCTTACTTGACATGGACAGTGCTGAGCCTGTTACAAATTGATGGGCCTGCTAGAAAAATTAAACTGAAACCGAAGTTAGTTTGTTATCAAATGTGGCTTACCGATCAACGTTGCAAGTGAACAATGCGGGACCGTTGGCTTGAACTCTACACGGATGATGTACCTATCGGACTGACCCTTGACTGGGTGAACTTTGACCCCTTCCTCAAAGACGACCTCCAGTTCTTCCAAGGTGTTGGGTTTCTCTGGGTCTCGGATGTCCTTGATCAAATCTGACGACAAAAAGAAGACGATAAGTGATATACGGATAGGGATATTGGGTTCATTGGAAAGGACATTAAAGCTATAGTCCATCATTTGCAGCTATCCGAAAAAGTAACTGGCGTATTATTGTTGAAAAACATACTGGTTGAAAGATAGTAAGGGGACTAAACTCGCTGTGAAATTAATCTTTCTGGCAAGCTATCATTTTGAAGTAATCAACAAAAGAAGGCCTTTCCAACGGTGCGTCTTAAGACACACCACAGTGCAACAGTATGTCTTAAGACGCACCTCACTCCTCCAAAATCCTCCTGGCGGTTTTGGAGGATTCTAGAGGATTGAGGATGAGTGGTGATTGAATCAAATGAGGATTCTGGAGGATTGAGGATGAATGGTGATTGAAGCACATGAGGTTTTTGGAGGATTGAGGATGAATGGTGATTGAAGCACAAGAGGAGTTTGGAGGATTGAGGATGAATGCATTTTGAGGCAGGACTGTCTGATGATTTTGAAGGATTTGGCGTGGGTTATCCTTCATTTAAACACGAGTGCAAAATTTTGGGATGAGGAGGATTTTGGAGGATTTTGGAGGATTGAGGATGAATGCATTTAGAGGCAGGACTGTCTGACAATTTTTAAAAATTTAGGCGGAGTTGCAAAATTTTGGAGGATTTTGGAGGATTGAGGATGGTTGTAAGCAACAAGGGCCTAGGGGGTTAGGGTCTTTACAACGATGTATGAAATATGGGAATCGGACAAAATCTGATGGAGGTACAGTATTTCAATTCCCAATTTTTGGGCCTCGGAAAGTAAAACATCTGTCCTTAAAATTTCCCCAAAAGAAGTACACATTAAAAGAAGTTAACCAGTTTTTCAACCCCCCCCCTTTTTCCCCATGCCATTCTGCTTTTTTGTTTTTTAATTCATACGTTTGCAATATTTCTTGCAAATTATGTTGTCAATTTATTATCTTTTCATTTGTTTCCAACAAAATTGTACATAAAGCTAGCTTGAGAAACTCCAGCTCCAATGCTTATCAGGAATTTGACATGTAGCGCTGAAGGTCAATGCACGTTGTTGCCAGCGGTCTCAAAATTGCAGAGGCCGTGAAATTTGGCCTAAACACAGCTGCCGATATCATCAAATTTTGTTTATATTTTAGTCAGTTTTGTTCTGTTTTAAGTCGATCCTTTAATTCGTGAATCATTCAATGTCAAATTCCCGATGAGCAAAGGAGTTGGAGTTTCTCTAGCTTGAGTAATGGATACGCACTGAACGTGCGCAGTTACTGTTTTTTTTTAATTAGACATTTTCCGGTGACAAATTTTAGTCTGGTTCCATGCCAACATTATCGTCGTACCTTCGTATTCACATTATGGGAATCAGACCATTTCACAAATTTGGGACTTTATTTCCCTTTAAAAAAAATCCTCCAGAGCCACAAATCTGAAAAAGAAAATGTAATACTCAGCAATAAAATGTTTGAGACATATTAAAATAATAAAAGAAGAATATTCTTATTTTTGGGGGATGAGAAAAATAAACTTTAAAATGTGGTGCGGTCGGAATCGAACGCGAGTTATCCCGCTTACTAGAGCCTTTGCTTAACCATTACACCAAACGTGCTACACAACTTTTGGTGGGAATTTAATACATCTTATAATTCAGCCCTATTTTAAAGAGTACAGCGCCCTCTGTTGATATGGATTACCATCGGCAAACCTTTAGTAATCGTTAGTTTGCCGTCATTACCTCCGGCAAAATATCCACTATCTTAAAAAAATCCTCCAGAGCCACAAATCTGAAAAAGAAAATGTAATAGGGCCTAGTACTCAGCAATAAAATGTTTGAGACATGTTAAAATAATAAAAGAAGAATATTCTTATTTTTGGGGGATGGGGAAAAAAAAACCCTTGTCGCCAGCAGGGATCGAACTTGGGTCTTCCCGCTCATGAGATCCGTTATTTATCCACTAGACCACAGGTGCTACACAACCGTTGGTGGTAATTTAATATATCTTATAATTCAACCCTATCTTAGAGAGTACAGCGCCCTCTGTTGATAGGGATTGCCGCCGGCAAACCTTTAGTAAACGTTAGCTTGCCGGGATTACCGCCGGCAATATATCCACTGTCTAATTTTTCTAACTCGGCCTTATACCATAGATGTCCGCAGCTACGTCCTCCAAATTTTCGCCCTCTTCATCATCCGGCCCTCGGCTAGTGCCTGGCTCCGCCTCCCCACTCTGCTGAGTCTGCTCACTGTCAGCTTCTGATGATGGGCCATTAGTCGCTGACGACATCATGAACAGCTGAAACAACCCTAGAAACGTCAGAAACATCGGGGCAGAATCATCTAGTTCTTGCGAATCTTGGATCTGTAAAATCAGAAATGACAAGTAAAATTATCACTGCCACTGCCTAAGTCAATCAGCCTGACAGAGCATTCTTAAGAAAGAAGGGAGAACACTCAAATAAGTTAACATTAATTTCTCATATTTAGAAAATTAGTACGAAGATAACACCCCCCCCCCCCCCGGCATCTTGCTATCCCCGCCCATCTTCCTGTCAATATTCTATCATGTCGCATTGTCGGTGCAATGTGTTTCGGTTTCAACTTTAGTTCACATTTAAACTCTTCATTTGTAATATCACAATGCACATTATAACTTCGAAACTTATGGCAGACCTTTATCACATCATATGACATTATATGATCAACTTATAACTCCCAGTAATGAAGTAGAAATCGTCGGGAAATCGACTGTTTTCGCTTACCTTCCGTCGCAAAACGAACCAATGTGATGTGTATTGTGTGATGTCTCTACTGCACCTATGGAGGGCGCTCTTCACAAACACCGTTAACTTTTAGAACAATGCGCGTTTACAGTGAGTGTTGGCCCGGGTGTTTTTTGTGGTGGCCGCTGACTTGAGAAGTCGTCTTCTTGTCAAATTTTTTTGTGCATGGAGGAGGTGATTTAATGTTGATCTTGTACTTGTAGGAATCTGTGTATAAGAAAATTTGAATGAGGGTTAGTTATACCCATGGACGTCTAATTCTACCGGGTGTGTGTGTTGGAAATCGGCATGGTCGGTCGGCATGGAGCCCGGGGAGGGGGGGGGGGGGGGGGGGGGGGGGTGCGAAGGGGGGGGGGGGGGGTTTGCAGGAGTCATGGACATGGGCGGGGGAGTTTTGTGGGGGGGTGGGTGGTGCAAGTTTAATACCCTGATCGCCCCGCACAGAACATTTTCAGATTCAATGTCCATGTATCGTCCGTGTACATGTTCCTAGTTATCGAGGCATTAAGTTTTCGAGGTTTGACCTCGTAGGCCTAGCGACACACTCCCACAGGCCACAGATTCGTACCACACAACCAGTTCATTTTTTGTGTGTGCAGTAAGTGTTCCACCGCCAGCCCAAAAAATTGGAAACTGAAGACTATGTCGGTGTTTTTCTCTTGCTTGAAATGAATCCTTACACCCTTGAAAACCGGTACATCAAGGAATGACCAGGATATTTTACAATTTTATCATGCTTATGTTGTGCCTAGTAGTAGTAACAAGCAGAGATCTACATGTAGGCTATTTGGAGGATTATTATTCTTTCAGTTAGGAAGAGATTATTGATGTTAATATTACACATGCACTGCAGTATCTAAATCTAACTTTCATTATATTTGACAGTTGATTTCAGAATGAGTTGGAGACGACCACACCATGTTGTCCGTTTGCTTCGTGGACCTATGTGTTTCAGTAAACCAACATTTGCCCGGAGTAGAACGCTATCGGCTTTACACACGAGAAAAAGCTGGTTTTGCAGTGATACACAACACTTGGTAGTTGCGACCAGCGACTGCAGGCTTACAAGCAGTAAACTTGCTGATTCACGGCGTGAAGAACAATTTCAGCCCGGGTTATTTCACGTCGACATTTCTTCCTTTAGAACCGATGAGCAAGGGGACAACCGAAACAACGCAAACTCTAATAGTGAACAATTCAGGAAGCGTTCTTATATCAATTACGGGACACACTTAGATCCAGTCGTCTTCCGACAATTGGGAGAAGGATGGGTGCTGGGGGACGACGGAGCCAGGAAGGAGGTATTCCATCCGAAACTGACGCCCAGACTTTTTTACAGGGAGGCTGATGAATACAGCGACACTGCTGTTATCTCCCCACAAGTTGCAAGGGAAGAAATCGGTTCCGAAAGCCGGTCAAAGCAAGTTGGAATCTTCTTGGAACAGTTTAAGCTTGAAACTGGAATCGGCGAGCTAGACTTGCGACAACTCTTAGAAACTTTCCTCCAGTGTAGCGATGAGTTTCTCTTAGGATTAGCGAGCGACACCAGATTCATTGAGTTCACTGAGTTTCTCAGCCAGCGCTGTCCTCAACTTCCCACCGACGAATTTGTGAAAGTTCTGGTGCTATTTGCAAGGGTTCAAGTTCGGGCCAAGATTTCGGCCGTCCCGATATTTTTGTCAGAATGCGAGAGCCGATTCGCAAATTGGGACGTCCCGACCTCCTTGTTGGTTTGCGACGCGTGGAGGCTTATCGGTCTCAAAGTCAAATCGTTAAATACCAATATTTTCAGTCAGATTGAGCCAAGGGCGGACCAACTGACCAAACACCAAGTCGTCCAGTTGATGTATTTGATCGGAGAAAACCGATTTTGCCAGGAAAGCTTACGTGACAATCTCCAAGATCTCGTCCTGAAGCACTTGGACTCGTTCACTTTGACGGAGCTTGGGACTGTCTGCCAAGGTTTCTTCAAATCCAAGACTAACTTGAAACCCTCGGTTGTCAGTGCTCTGGCTATGAAGATACAATCTCAGCCGGTGGATTGCATTCACAGTTTTTATCTTGTTGGCATGTTAAAGGTAGGCGTCCTCAATGTATTGTAAAGTAGTTGAGGACATCACGAGTCCATCACAAGTCCAGTCACAAGTATCAGGAGATGAACAGTTACAAAGGAATGCCTTTGTAACAAACATTCCCAAATCCTCCAAAATTCTCTTTGCGAAATGAAGGATTTTGCAGGATTGAGGCTATATGGCCAAAACGTGTTGCTGATTTTGAAGGATGCTCTATGGCCAGATTACACTTGAAATCCTCCGCACTGCTCCAGGATGTCACTGGCTCTGCCTCACTATTGACAGTGATTAATGGAGGATTGAGGCAGTGGTCACCCCTCCAAGGACCACATTCAAGAAATAACGGATAATTTTGGAGGATTGAGGTTGTATGCTGTTTTAACATTTTGTAGGATTGAGGTTGCATCCTTGCAAAAATGCCTAGGGAATTAGGGTTTCTAGCTTGTGATTGACTTGGAACTGAGTCTTGTAGTGGATTTGTGATTGACTTGTGATTGACTTGTGATTGACTTGTGATGGACTTGTGATGGACTTGTGATGGACTTGTGATGACTTGTGATGACTTGTGATGACTTGTGATGGACTTGTGATGACTTGTGATGGACTTGTGATGACTTGTGATGGACTTGTGATGGACTTGTGATGGACTTGTGATGACTTGTGATGACTTGTGATGAACTTGTGATGAACTTGTGATGACTTGTGATGGACTTGTAATGACTTGTGATGACTTGTGACTGACTTGTGATGACTTGTGATGACTTGTGATGACTTGTGATGACTTGTGATGACTTGTGATGACTTGTGATGAACTTGTGATGACATGTGATGACTTGTGATGACTTGTGATGACTTGTGATGGCTTGTGATGACTTGTGATGACTTGTGATGACTTGTGATGACTTGTGATGGCTTGTGATGGACTTGTGATGACTTGTGATGGCTTGTGATGACTTGTGATGGACTTGTGATGACTTGTGATGACTTGTGATGAACTTGTGATGAACTTGTGATGACTTGTGATGGACTTGTAATGACTTGTGATGACTTGTGACTGACTTGTGATGACTTGTGATGACTTGTGATGACTTGTGATGACTTGTGATGACTTGTGATGGATTTGTGACTGACTTGTCAATGACTTGTGATGGACTTGTGATGGATTTGTGATTGACTTGTGATTGACTTGTGATGGACTTGTGATGGACTTGTGATGGATTTGTGGTGGATTTGTGATGACTTATGATGTCTTGTGATGACTTGTGATGACTTGTGATGGATTCGTGACTGACTTGTGATTGACTTGTGATGGACTTGTGATGGACTTGTGACTGACTTGTGATGACTTGTGATGACTTGTGATGACTTGTGATGACTTGTGATGGATTTGTGACTGACTTGTCAATGACTTGTGATGGACTTGTGATGGACTTGTGATGACTTGTGATGACTTGTGATGCACTTGTAATGACTTGTGATGACTTGTGATAACTTGTGATGACTTGTGATGACTTGTGATGACTTGTGATGGCTTGTGATGACGTGTGATGACGTGTGATGACTTGTGATGACTTGTGATGACTTGTGATGACTTGTGATGACTTGTGATGACTTGTGATGACTTGTGATGAACTTGTGATGACATGTGATGACTTGTGATGACTTGTGATGACTTGTGATGGCTTGTGATGACTTGTGATGACTTGTGATGACTTGTGATGACTTGTGATGGCTTGTGATGGACTTGTGATGACTTGTGATGGCTTGTGATGACTTGTGATGACGTGTGATGACTTGTGATGACTTGTGATGACTTGTGACGGATTTGTGACTGACTTGTGATTGACTTGTGATGACTTCTGATGACCAGTGATTACATGTGATGACTTGTGATGACTTGTAATGACTTGTGATAACTTGTGATGACTTGTGATGACTTCTGATGACTTGTGATTGACTTGTGACGACTTGTGATTGATTTGTGATTGACTTGTGATTGACTTGTGATTGATTTGTGATGACTTGTGATCGACTTGTGATGACTTGATTTCTGTGTACCTTCTTCTTTCAAGGTCTTCCGCCAAGCCTACTTTGGTCACAGAGACCTTTTCAACCACGTCGCAGACTCCGTCAGCCCGCACCTCCACACCTACCCCATCACCTCCATCATGCACATACTCCTAACCTACGCCACACTGCACATCCACAACGATGCCCTGTTGGGGGCGGGGTCACACGCCCTCCTCAAGCGATCCCACGAGTGCCGATGCAAAGACCTCTCCAAATTCCTCTGGTCCTTCGCCACCCTCAACTACCACCCCGAGAACTCGGAGAAGTTCTTCAAGACGATGATTGGTCGGCTGGTAGAGCTCCTGGATGAGTTTGAAGACTTCCCGGTGTTTCTCGTCTCTGGGCTTCTGTCGTTGGCTTACCTCAACATTTATCCAGCCGAGCTGCTGAATTTAGTCTTCAGTCGGAGGTTTTTACTGAAGATAGATGGTTAGAACACAAACAATTCAACGTTAGGGTTCCCCGGCTGTTTCAAGTGGGAACAACGCAAGTTCCCAATTAGAACAGGCGATGTTCCCCGGTGGAACATTTCAAACGTTCAGACTTTCGAGAAGTTCCCTTACAACTGAGAATATTTCTGTTCCCCTGAGTAGGGTAAAGTGGCTTGCCACAGGACACAACATATGACCAGGAGACGGGATATTTCTACTCCCCATGGATGGGATGCCAGTCCATCGCAGGTTACTCCCCAGCTAATGCTGGTACCCATTTATACTCCTGGGTGGAGAGGGGCAAGTTGGGGTAAAGTGGCTTTCCCAAGGACACAACATATGGCCAGGAGACTGAATATTTCTATTCCCCCTGGATGGGATGCTAGTCCATCGCAGGCTACTCCCCAGCTAATGCCGGTACCCATTTATGCTCCTGGGTGGAGAGAGGCAAGTTGGGGTAAAGTGGCTTTCCCAAGGACACAACATATGGCCAGGAGACTGAATATTTCTACTCCCCCTGGATGGGATGCTAGTCCATCGCAGGCTACTCCCCAGCTAATGCCGGTACCCATTTATGCTCCTGGGTGGAGAGAGGCAAGTTGGGGTAAAGTGGCTTTCCCAAGGACACAACATATGGCCAGGAGACTGAATATTTCTACTCCCCCTGGATGGGATGCTAGTCCATCACAGGTTACTCCCAGCTAATGTCGGTACCCATTTATACTCCTGGGTGGAGAGAGGCAAGTCGGGGTAAAGTGGCTTTCCCAAGGACACAACATATGGCCAGGAGACTGAATATTTCTATTCCCCCTGGATGGGATGCTAGTCCATCGCAGGTTACTCCCCAGCTAATGCTGGTACCCATTTATACTCCTGGGTGGAGAAAGGCAAGTGGGGTAAAGTGGCTTGTCCAAGGACACAACATATGGCTAGGATGCCAGTCCATCACAGGTTACTCCCCAGCTAATGCCAGTACCCATTTATACTCCTGGGTGGAGAAAGGCAAGTGGGGTGAAGTGGCTTGCCCAAGGACACAACATATGACCAGCAGCTGGATTCGAACCCTGACCCTCTGATCGTGAGTCACGAAACCCTAACCACTAGGCCAAGTTTTAATGATTTGTTTTTGTTTCCCATATAGAGTATGCCGAGCAGTCCAACATTGATCCGATGAGGGACATGTTCTTGTTGCATTGCGCGGTCACAATTGAATGCCCGGATTACCATGGCAACCAACTCGGAAAGGTATAAAGGTCAAAGGTTAACCCAACCCCTTGAGCACTTTTACTAGAAAGTATCCTGAATCCGCCAAAATCCACCGATTGTTTCATGCACAAAAATGTTGGTGTTGGTGACTGCTCAGTATGCAGGTATCCTGAATCCATCAAAATCCTTCAGTGCCACTAGGCTTACAATCCTCAATCCATCAAAATCCCTGGTTTTCAATATGGAGGTATCCTCAATCCATCAAAATCCTGCAGTACTGCTAGGCTTACAATCCTGAATCCATCAAAATCCCCCTGTTTTCAATGTGGAGGTATCCTGAATCCGCCGAAATACTCCAAAACAGGGTATGGATTTTGATGGATTCAGGTACTCTAGGGTAAAGAATAACACTGCAAAGTTCACGTCATATACCACTTTTCAGTAATTGAGGTATGTAGGCATACGCTCAGATCTACCCATAACTTTTGCAACTTCAAGCTAAAAGTAAATGCATGGCCAAAAAAACTCCCAAATTTCTAGCAATGTTGACAGACGTGAACTAACCCACTTTTCATCTTTGTATTTTGTTAGAATTTTTTCTTGAGAAAACCGTTCTCCCCGAGAATGTTTGGCAGCCTTCCCTACGAGTTGTCGCGGCGCCCTCTGTTGGGACAGGTGGCCTCGTCCGTTGCGTCAGTCCTCGGCGGGGAGAAATACATCAAACTTGGCTTCACTCTGCCGCACATGAAAACCGCCGGTAAATGAACAACTTTCCGATTTCATTTTATAACCATTGTTCCTGAAAAGCGTAACCCCTTGTACATATTGACTATTCTATGTTTGCCATAGTTGCCAGAAATCTTATAAAAAAATCAATATTTTTGTGTTTCTGCTTCTCCATAGATATTGAAATTCGTTTGGATCCTCATAACAGTCCAATCCCAATCAGTGATCTCAGGAGTTCTTCAACGTCGTCTTCGCAGTTTTTGAGGGACAAAGTTGTGCATCTTGACCCTTCCCTGATAACCAACTTATCTGGAAAAAACGACGGGAGGTTAGCAAACCCCACTGGAAATAGAACAGCATCCAGTGACCCCACTGGAAACACAACAGCATCCAGTTACCTCAATGGAAACAGAACTGCATCCAGTAACCCCACTGGAAATAGAACTGCATCCAGCAACCCCACTGTAAATAAAACTGCATCGAGTAACATTGGAAATAGAACTGCATCCAGTGACCCCACTGGAAACAGAACTGCATCCCATAACCCCACTGGAAATAGAACTGCATCCGATAACCCCACTGGAAATAAAACTGCATCCAGTAACCCCACTGGAAATAAAAATGCCTCCAGTTACCCCACGGGAAATAGAATTGCATCTAGCAACCCCGCTGGAGATAGAACTGCATCTAGCACTTCCACTGGGACAAGAATAGCAGATGAACCAGAAACTACTGGAGAAGCACGTATGGTTGAAAGTAGACACTTGAATGCCAGAGAACCGCAAACGCCGTCGGACAAGACACTGGCAGTTGACAAGTTGGTGTTCGACAGAGCGGCTTTGTTCGCTCGGAAGAACGCCGCGTCTGGTTGGTCGTCAAGATTCGATGTCCCGGAGCCTTTATGTACAGCACACCTAGGAGGAAACAGGTCTGTCATACTTAACCAAGTTGACAAATTCTCTACAAAAATTCTTGTTTTGAAATTGAAGAAAGTCCAAGTGGGATATTTTGTTCAGGAATTAAAAAAAGAGTAGTAGACAAATTCTGTCTACAAGAATTTTTAAATAAAAAACCTAATTGCACTGCGTGTACTATATACTACACATTACTTTCTTTATTGCTTAGAATAGCTAAAGTAATCTTAAATTTCAACTTTGTTTTACAGATCTTATTTTAACAGTGTTTTTCGCTTGGAAAAAAAATTATGCATGAATTTTGTATACGGTATTGCTCAATATAAAATTCTTTGCGATTTTCATATTACACACAGGATAGCTGTATTAGTCTGGTCCCGTAATCACTTCCACTTCAATGGCAAGAAGTTACTGGGTCTCCATTCTATGAAGAGGCGGCAACTTCAGAAGCTGGGGTACAAGACAGTCGAAGTAAGTACAACAATTGGCGCGAGTCTCAAAAGTGATATTTCATGTTGTACAGAGATTTTGCGTATCCAGTATTTCCTCAAATTCCAGAATTTTGAAATGTATGTTATGCAAGTACCTTCAGTGTATGTTATTGACGGTTATGTTTCAAAATGATTTTCAAAATGATATTTAACCAGTTCGCGCCGGAGGCTGAAAAGTTGTTCGAAAGTCAGATCGGATGACTGAAAAAAAAACAGACAAAGACAGAGGCCGGAAAATATCTGTTGGCAAGCCACCGACCGAGGCCGGAAATATGACTCTGTAGCCCCAGGCTGATGGCTTTGACCCGCCTGGCATTGTGGTCGAGTGAATATTAAACCTGTGCCTCAGTCCGTTCTTGTCAAAATAAACCCGGCCTCAACTGGTTAAAGGGAAAATACAACATTTGCAAACATCAAAAATAAAACTACCAAATCATTTTGAAATACCTTGCTGGGCTGTTAGTGAATGACAGTGTAAAGCATCCTGTAAAATCGTGGCACCTAGTATATACTGTCATTTTCAAGAAAAGTGGTATTTTTGTATCAATTTCCAACGCTGATCGGCCGATCAGCGTTGGAAAAAACTGGCTTTTTTTCAAATACTGGCCCCAGTTGACCATCGCACTTGTTTGCAATCGATTACACACCTATGGACGGGTACAAGCCAGCTAGACTGGTTCCCTTACCTTACAATTCCCCAATATATGTAAACTGCTCTGTTTCTTCTTAAATGGAGTCAGGGAACCAGACTACAGGAAAATGATTGTTTTTCTTGGTTTTTATAGCATTTTTGAACCCAAAACCTCAAAAAAGTCAGTGTAACTATATTTGCTATATATTTCCAACCCCCCAATTCCATCCATTTCTGAAAATCACAGCAAAAGCAAATGATGTATATTCCCTTTAAGGAAATAAAGATTATTAAAGTAAAAAAAATTATTTGGTGATAGAATATTTGAAAAATGTGGGGATTTATACAAATCTAAATATTAAAGGTATAGTCCATCATTTGTAATTTGGGAGTTATGTTCGTTTGGAGCAACAAAAGTGCTCAAAATCTAAAGAAGGGTGCTGAACAACTAACCTGATGAAGGTTTAGTTCATCGAATGCTGTATACTCTGAGAAAAACAATATTCTAGGATCTCAATTTGAAATCAAAATTTGCAGAGTCATGTTTTGAATTGCGCCCGAATTCAGTGTCCGGGACACGTCGTCATTCAGCCGATTGCAGCTACGTGATGTCACGCACATGGGCGTCGCGAGGGGGGGGGGGCCAAGGGGGGGCACTTGCCCCCCCCCCTGGAAAAACAAAAAACAAAAAAACAAAAAAAAGGAAGAAGAAAAGAAACAAAAAGAAAAGAAAAAGAGGCGCGAAGAAATCCTGGCGACGCCCATGGTCACGCACTTGACAGACAAATTATAGCAACTGCGCGTGCATGTCGTGTCAATGCTTGCGCACGCTTCGTCGAATTAATAAACAAACTACTAACGGAAATTTCCAAGAATGTGCCTTCAGACGCATCGTTGGAAATGGCCTTCTTTCGTTGTTTTCTTCAAAACGACAGCTTGCCAGAAAGAATAACTTCACAGGGAGTTTAGTGCCATTACTATCTTTAAACCAAGTAAACTTTTCAACAGTAATTTGGTCAGTTACTTTTTGGACAGGTGCAAATGATGGACTGTACCTTTAACGCCCATACTTTTGCTGGACACAGAGAGCTATGTTTGGTTTTCCTTTATTTTAACTCTATATTGAAATCATTTTTTCTTGCATTTATTTTTAGATTCCTTTCTTCGAATGGGACCAATTGACTGGATCGGAGGAAAGAGAGAACTACATTAGACTGAAGCTTTTCCCCGACAATTAGGACAACAAACTTTTTGAAATTAAAAAAAGATGTCACACACAAGTATATCAGTTCACTCACTTTACATATCAGAATTTTAATAAATTTTAATAAATGCCCCATTTATGATAAATTATTTAAAACTGGTCAACTTATAATGACCTTTCCACATTGAAAGAAATATAGTTTGTTCGCCTTTGCATTGTAACATGACAACCCTTTCGTCTTTGGTGCAGTCTCCGTTCGAATCTTTATGTGTTCATCCTTTTACGAGGATGTTGAAAAATTTGTTGAAATTTGACATTTTCTTAAGTATGGAAATTGTATTCTCAGGATGACTCTTGAGCCATCTCGTGATAATATTCTCAGCTGGATGGCAGTTGGTGCAATCATTTTCACACTGAGTTTTCAAAAAATATAAAATACTTTATACATAATGAATAAACAAACTTTATGATATTTCATAATAAAAGTTTTAATTTAAACAAAAATGGATATTTGAGCCTGGCTTAGCCCAATAAAACAAACATTATAAACGGAAGGTTTTATGCAATCATTTTGTTTACATAAGTAAATGTATAAGTTTCAGTTTATAGTTGCAGTTTAAAATTATTTATACAATTTATAAAATTATTTATACAAAAATCCTGGAGGGTACAAAACTCGGAACAAGTTTTTTAATTAAAAAAAATTGATTTATCCACAACCAATCCTTTAGCCAGTTTTAAATGTACTTGTGTAACACGACCAAGCACATATTTATTCCCATTCATAAATACCTTTTTCAGTCAAAAGTAAAAAACTGACAAAACTCCCATGATTTTGTTCAACAATTGAACTTCACGTTTTGTGAAACCCCCTCTGGCCATGTCCATGGTATGTGCCTCGCACACGTAGTGCTAAAATGTCCTTATATGGAGATTAGCGCGTGAACAGTGCATACTGCGTGCAGTGGCGCAGAACACAGCTGTGTTTTACCGGCACCGAGTTCAAAACCACCCATGTGACGGGCTCTCAACCAATAGGAAAGGCTAAACTGTCATGGGTATTTTTGCATGAAATTTTTTTTATTAAGGAGCCCAAAATGAGATTTAAATATCAGATATTGGCTATTTCAAATAAAACTTTTAAAAATTGGAAGTCAAAGCCTCATTTTGTTATATCAAATTGGCTTTTATTTTAGTAAGTCACAATAATATACCAACTCATATTAGGCCAAAAAAAAAATAAGTCTGTCTCTGGTCAGCGGGCGCGTCGATTTTAATCATGCGCGTCGATCTTTTTTTTTTCCAAAATGTTCCGCGGTAGCTCCAACAGCGCCCTCTATTTCCGCACCTCATTTTTTTTTACCAAAGAGCACCAAGTAATGGGAAATTGCACCAAGGCAAATGATCGAAAGCACCAAGGCAAATTATGGAGGACACTAATGTACATGTTCAATTCCGGAACTTTGGTCTGACCAGAGACCGAATATTTTTTTTTTTGGCCTTACATCAATTTTTTCAACCATATTCAGCACGAACACTTTAAAAAAAGAGATACATGAAAAATGGTCTTAAACAAAAATTAAATTATTTGACTTCATGTCCTTTAGAAAAAAATTTCTGTCCACGTTTGTTTCACATGATTGCACATCGCTTGCTTCCTTTCTTGCCTTTCCATCTCATACTTCGCCTGATTCTTGATCCCGTCTGGTTGTTGAGCTGGGCGGAGCCAGCAGCTGCAAGGGAACCAATCAGAACACACCGCATTAGGAATACTGAATAAATTACAGATATGCAAATGAACCATGGAACATTAAAGACTGAATGGACAATATCATTGGTGTACGATATTCAGTTGCCTAATTTGTTTTCCAAATTGACCATTAGAAACAAATTGCATACAGGTACATACAGTCATGTTTTACTATACTCTCGAGGACAATGCTTTGTGTTTCCCTTTGTTCCTGTAATATAACACTCTCCCATAGCACATAACCGTACGATAGAGGACCGTTTTCAACAAAGGACCTAACTCCCTGGCGGCACCAGGCCCACATGAGTTGCGCTCAAGGGTAGTACGCACGCACTCTGGGCTTCTTCAACAATAGGGCTATCAAAATGTGTGCGCACGTTGTCTTTAAGAACGCATGCAAGCATGGCACTTCTACTTTTGTTCAGTGAATTTCACAATACCTTAAAATATAATATTATATAGCACTATATAAGCACCACACATCATTATGAAACGATTATGATTGCGGTCACATGACTGCAGTCACATGACTACACAACCTCCAATCACATGACATTACCTGGTGTGGAGAAAGACGTGCCAAAACGTGTCCAGCAGTCCTCTTCTAGTGAGTAGGTGTAGACGGGCTGTCCGTGGTCCAACTCGGGGTCCCACCATGGTTCTTGCACATACCTAGGGCCCTGAATGATTGAAATACAGCACATGCGGCAATGAAAAATCAGTTCAAGTGCAACTTTTTGCACAACTAATGTATATTGTCTAGAAATCTTTAGTGGTGGGATTAATATCTGCTGTGGTCTAATTGTTATGGTGTTCGACTCGTGTGCCGTGGTACATGGGTTCGAATCCTGACCGTGGGAACATGGTGCTTGTGCTCTTGAGCAAGGCACTTTACCACTATTGCTCCGTCCTTCGGATGGGACGTAAAGCCGTAGGTCCCCAGTGTTGTGTGATGCACGTTAAAGAATCCAGTAACACCCTTCGCTAACAGAAGGGGTTTGCCCCGGTGTTTCTGGCAGTGGCTGCAATATGCACCACAGCACCTTGTAGGTGCTACATAATGGGTCTCACATTTCTCATAAACTTCATTTACCTGTCTTTAAAAATAGACATAATTTCCAGCGCCTTGTGTACCTCATTGTTGGTAGATACGTGCGCTATATAAGACTCCGGTATTATTATTAACTCTTGATAAAGTGCATGCTGAATGTAAGTGAACAATTTTCTTGCATGTATAGCGACGGCCATTTTTGGAAGAATATCGGGGGCGAACTGGTCAAAATGCAAATTCAACTATGTGACTGGTGTATGGTCATCTGCTATCCAGTCTTTATACTTGGGATAAGGCAAAAAAAATAAAGTCTCCGGTTTTTGGTATGGAGCTTGCACAAAAAGTGGTGTGGCGACGCGTTTTTTTTTTTTTTTTTACTTTTTTTCTTTTCTTCAAATGTCGGCTGATGACTGCAAATGGTGCCCGACTAAACTTACTGCAAATATATGGGAGTCCAGAGAGGCCACATAAAGCTTATTCTCAATCGTAACCCCATCAAAAAACACGTTAAAAGTGTGCAGCAGCAGGATTCCAGTCAAACCAGTGAGTTTGGCGGTTTTGAGACATCATCTTTCATTGAAAAAAAACCTTTTTCATGGCCACGACGACGCGTGCGCATACCAGAAACCGGAGACTTTTTTTGGCCTAAGTAGCACGAATGGTCCACAATTGACGAGAAACCTTCAAGCTACTCACATCATCCTCTTTGTTTTCCTCTGTGTCGTCTTCGCTTTTCTCCATTGCCGATTTCGTTGGGTTTTCCTCCAGCTGCGTGAACATGTCTGTCAGTTCCTCGGTCATCCTGCCTTCCTGTTTCACCTCCTCAGCATACTGCTGGAGTTGCTCCTCCCCTGCTTCACGATAACAAACTGTGCGGGAGAGAAAACGATAAACATCCAAATAAAAAATTCTGCCAAGACATTTCAGTACTGATAGGCCATCAGCTTCGGTTCCAAAATTGGGCCACCGGTATCAAATGATCGAAACGAGCAATGCTCAGTGATTTTTGGCAAGGTACATGTATGCACATCTAGAGTTGGAAAATGTGTGATAGCTTTGCAGTGTGAGCGGTGCCAGTTTTTTGGGGTGTTATCAATTTTAAGTTGTTTTTTTTCTAAATGGCCTGTGCACAAGGCAATGCCCTCCGACGAAACAACCCAACAATCTTGAGTAACTTACCAGCGAGGAACATGTCCGTCAGATAGTTGAAATGTTGGAACTTGATGTAAGCTCCGTTTGACCTTGCAGCCATTTCCTTGTAGAAGTACTTGTCAGAGCCGTAGTTCGTAACTTGGACTCCGTAGATCTTCACATGCGAACAAAAAAAGAAAAGAATACAAATTGGATCTTATTCGGGATATTTGTAAGTGTGGTATGGTTCTACAAAAGGGGGCATTATCTTGTCTGAAAAGTCTCCAAATGTGATGCGATCAAGCTACATGAGTCGTTTGTCGGGAATTTTCATTTGGAGATACAGGCCAAAATAGGGCCACTTCATCACATAACTTCATCACATCTCTTAGTGTTCCGACTTCCATAATTTTTTAACTAAAGATGGTATCAGCATATGATTTTCACAGCAGTAACACTAAGATTGTGCTCTTTTCAAATCTGTTACAAAAAAATGTTGACCGGGGTCGACAAACGACTCATTAAGCTTGATCGCATCACAAATTTTCTCAAATTCCCAGAAAATGTCCCCCCCCCCTTCCCGGCAACATGTTCCCAATATACTTGTTACAAGGGTGGCAGCACCTACCCCCCTCCCCCCCCCCCCCCCCGCCCCCTTTCTAACCATTTTTGCTTCCAAAAACATATTGGGCGACTTGTTCTGAAATAAGTTATCCGTTCCCCTCCCGGACCCAAACCTGGATAAATCAGTTTTTTAAAATTTCAATCAAACCTCTAAGTTTTAAATGAACATACCTTGACGTCCATTTTGCAGAGTTTGTCCAGCTCTTCGTGCCAATTAATCCGCTGGTCTGTGTGGCTGACGGCGTGGGGTTTAACATCTCCGATGATGACGAGTGCCTTCGCCGCGTCTTCACTCCACGACAGTTCCTGGGCCTTATGCAACACCCACTCATAGCACTGGAAAACAGAAACGACAAAGAAACAATCACACGTTTTTGTTACCGATCATGTTTTTGAGTTGTGAAGACAAAGAGCATTAGGCCGGTTCAAGCGCCATGTAAATGAAATTATGTAAAGGGAATTATACATCCAACACTTGTGGTGAAAACAACGCACTGAATAATTATGAATTACATGTGTAACCTGGAATATTCAAGTTGAAATTTCAATGAAGATACAGTCCACTGAGAGCTTGTCTCCTTTAAAACTGCATCACAAGTCCGCCATTTTGTTTTACATTTTAAAAACTGACAAAAACTGAGATCTGATAAGTCTTTGCTGAATATCAGACGACTATTTACTGTACAAGTACGTACAACAGTCACCGTGTTGTTCTATACATACATCTAGGATGCGTCGCACTCACGACGTGTCTTGTGAAATGGATCGCAGGACGCGTTGCAGCTGCGACGCGTCGTAGGGATACGACGTGTCGCAGCACTAATATGCGTCATGAAATTGGGTGCTGCTGTTACAAACTTGCAATTCATGTTAACTGTTGCGTCCAGTACCAACTGCATTTGATGAGAACACTGACTCGCAAATGAAGGGTCACGGGTTCGAATCCACTGGCTGAACTTACTGCATAAGGGCCCTCGCCCCCGGTCCGCGGGACGTTGTTGATGTAACCTAGCAGGTCGTCCGTGTTGGAGGTCAGGTCGATAGAGCGAATCACGTAGATGTTCTGATCGCAGTAGTCGCCGTGCGACATGATGCCGATCCGTATGCTTGGAATATCCCTCAGCAGGCGGGAAACAGTGGTATCAAGCTTATTTCTCACCTAAGAAGTAGACAAAAATTCTAATTATTTACAGTTATCAATAATTTAGTATGTGTATGAAATTGGTTAACCCTCGGAGCAGCTTTTAAAAAAAAATCACACAGTGGATCCACGTGGAGACTTTTATCACCACATGTGTTTATAGGTCAATAACCCTGGCATGCCTGTACATGCACAAAATATAGGTCATTCACATGGCCAGGGATTGTTTACAACCTGTTTGAGCTCTGGGCGGCAGGAGGGGCTGACACAAAGAGATCGGCAGCACTTACGGGTTGGCCACTAGATCTCCAATTACTGCACAAAGGCATTAGGTGCCATCTTGGCTTCTGTCTTTCAACACTCCTTACTCTAGAGTGGCTAGGGTCTTGCCATTGGGAGTCTACAGGCTTGTGGTGTATAGTAGGGGTGAGGATTATATGGAAACTTGGCCTAATTGGCCCATTGAAAAAAATGTATGCCCATAATTGGAAAATGTGGACTATTATTAAACTACGTTCTCGCTGCTCGGCACAAGCAACCATTTTCTTACTATTTTCTGACACATCAATTCATCTTGTATAGTTTTGCGAGACTGACCAACCTGACCTGACCTGACTGTCACCTGGTTGTTGGCTGGTGAACAGAGCCGGGCAGTGCTATTGTATAGGATTACCCCATAATGGGCTAAATCTGGCCCACTGTGTATGTGTACACCACAGTCAGTCTGACTCAGTCAGTCAGGTACTTTGTCTCAGCAATGAAGTTAGAAATATAGCGTTTCTCTCAAAAAATGTAGTAGTCAAAACAACATTTTTTTTCTGAGGAAAATCAGGTTTTTTTTGTTTCGTGTAAAAAATTACCATGAGATGATAGAGTGTTTCTTTACCCTTGAAAGGATTTTTTGTTCTGTGTGATTAGGACCTTTTGCTTAAAAATTATACGGCAAAGCTTGTAAAGACGGTCAAAATCTGTTTGAGTTAACTCCTCAGATCATCTGGTATCTAATGAAAGCATTCTCACACCATGTTGTTGAATGCCTTTCATTAGATACCGGATAATCCGAAAAATGGCCCAACTTGGAATTCAAGTCCTTTCATTTTATGTATCTTTGGACCGGGGTATCAAAATGAGATGGGATAAAGACCATTGTGTAGAGTATTTACTACATCTTCAGACTCTATAGATAAGTTTAACAAAAACAGAGTGCTAGTATTCCAGCCCTGCCGTGGCCATGCGTGTTGTGCCCTTGAGCAAGGTGCTTTACCTCAATTACTCCTCTCAACCCAGGTGTGAAATGGGTACCGGCATTATTCAATGCTGGGAAGGTAACAGACTCGCTGTGGAGGTGTGGCGATCCCCCCACAGCAGCATTTCATGGACTCGAGTCTGGCCCAATCGCTTCGAAAGAGAGAGGGGCACTCCGATCCTGTGAACACAGGTTCGTCCCCTTTACCTTTACTAGTTAGGTCTTATGCCCAGTTCAAACAAGAGAACCCCAGTCAGAAAGATTATGTAGTATTTTGCCATACAGGATGAAACACGGACAAAATCCATCACGATTTCACATGGTTATATACCCTACCTCACTAAGAGATCCATACATGCTACCAGTTGTGTCGAAGGAGAAGACGACTTCAACTTTACGGTTCTTGTCCAAACCATCGGCAAAATTGGCCAGCAACTCCTTCAAAAATAAACACAAAAAAATCGGGTTATTTTGTACCAAAGTAATTATTATCATTTATTTGTATAATGTACATCCCAATTACACTTTTCCTACATATTCTGAGCTGGTTGGTGTTACATGTTGTGCTTTTTAAAATTCTTTTTTTTTTTCTGACAAAATTTCAACTACTTCGGGCATATGCGTCAACTTCCAGAAAAACAAATTAGGTTTTGCCCTTCAACGACATTCAAACACCGTATACTCAGTGTGTCACCTCCCGAGTGAAAGTTTGAAAAAATCACTTGGGTGGGACTCGAACCCACGACCTCCTGCTTTCTAGTGCAGATGTCTTACCACTTGACAACCGAGCTAACGGGATTTATATCACCACGACGCAATATTCCATCTTATGATAACTTCCAGAAAAGGCACGTATTTTTTGGTTGCTTTTGTGCATAAAAAGATCCGCCCTTCAAGCAAATTGGTTCCTGGTCCCTACAGCATTGATCCTCATAGGAGTCTGGAACCAGTCTAGCCTACATTGTAAGACAACTGAATTTATTGTAAGGCAACAAATAATTCAATCTTGTATTTTTGTAGGGCCCCTGTTTTGTTTCGATCAAATTAGAATCAAGAATTTTTTTATTACTAAAAATGACATTGTCAACCTAAAACAGACTTTTCTCTATGTAATGCCACCTTTTTGGTAATTTTTGAACAGTTTCTTGGGGTAAAAATGATGATTTTCCTACGCGGTTTACAGGCCTGTTGGTGCCGTGCAGCATGACGTGCGTGCTCACGATACATTGCGCGGCGATCGCCATCTTTATTTTCGTGTTGCGTTTTGTAGTTGTCATCGTCATTTTACCCCCAAAGTTCCCTCAAAAATTCAAAACCCTGCCCTTTATCTATGACATACCTGTATGTTATAAGAGGTTGTGGAATGCTGGTGTGATGAAATAAAAACGACTATTGTTTCTGTCATGAAATGAGTACAAAGGTTACTTTTGAGAGCTATTTTTCAGGTCCTGTTTCGACCCGAACGTGCAATTTGTGTAAAAGTCGTCGTTGCGGGCAGCAAACAAAACACACTAAATCGTGACGTAATAAACAGGACTCGTTTATGCTACTCTGCATCGGGAGTCCTGTTTATTACGTCACGATTTACTGTGTTTTGTTTGCTGCCCACAACGACGACTTTTACACAAATTGCACGTTCGGGTCGAAACAGGCTTGACAGGACTTGAAAAACAGCTCTCAAAAGTACCTTTTGTACTCTTCTTATGACAGAAACAATAGTCGTTTTTATTTCATCACACCTTAGGCTACATATACCCGAAAAATGACAGAAATGTCTTCGAGCATTCCACAACCTCTTTAATGTCGCCAACTAGTTTGGTAGGTCAAATAATTTAAAGTGGATTTTGATCCCTTATAGAAACCGGGCCCGTAGATACACGATCGCCAAACTTTGTGAAAAAAAAAGTGTTCAATGTTTCATTCAAGAGTGAATAACATAAGCGTTGCTCGACAAATGTCAATTTAAAAATTACACTATTTCCGGTTTGAAACTCAAACAAATAGGACATCATAAACAAGTTCTTACATCGAGAGTTGCTTGATCCAACTCTTCTTCGACAACTTCTTCCTCGTTGTAGGTTGCTGCAGCAGCTTGCTCCACGAGCTCCAACACCCCTTCATCTTCGATCCCAAGGTCCTCAGCGAGAGTTCTATCTCCGGACAAGAACTTGCCTTTCAGCTGCAAAAAAAAAAAATATTTGAAAGTCATCGTCATACATTTTTATTTCTAGTTTGCAGTATAATTCAGGTACCAGTACAGTTTAGGCCGGCTAGACTCACAACAGACTGAGACCTTAACCCTAAAGGGGCCGGGTTATTTTGACCATCTCTCAGCCGGGTGGGGGGGGGGCGGATTCCGTCCCCCCCCTAAGATCTCGGCCATCGAGTGACGAAAAATTTTGAAACTCGGCACATGCATAGAGCAACTCTTCCTAAACATACCCAAGAAATTTCATGACTATAGGTCAAAGGGTTTTGGAATTATGGCTAATTAATTATTCATATGTACGAATGGCAATTCTGCTCTGTGTACACGACGTATATGCGAAAATTCAGTTTTCACGGCGCATAGCGCCGGAAAATTTTTCGCTACGCGGCAACCAGTGGTCCGATTTTTTATGTTTTTGGTATCAAAAGATGCGCAAAGCTCGAAGCTAAAAAGTCATAACAGCTCGGGTCGCGGAAAAAATTTTTTTAGAGGCTATCACGGAAAATGTTGAGGGTTAAGTTCTCAAAACGATGCAAAAGAAGATCAGGCCAAATTTACTCACTCTTTAGCCAGTAAACGTCTCTAAAACTTTCATTGGGCAAAGAAAAGGTCCTCAGTATTTCACCAACCAAGTTTGAAGAATCAAATCAATTTTTAAAGGGAACTTTTCTTCAATATTTGGCAGTGGCTTGTACATGAGAGGGAAGTCAAGTGATTTCAAAATGAGGCTAAAGACTAGACTGGTACATGTCCATCCATGGTCCAACTGTTTGACAAGACTGAATTCTTCATTCATTGTCATTAGTCTGGTACCTGACTATGGAGAAATGTGTAGAAATAGTGACCTAGTACCCGACATCCTAGATATTTCTTTTGGCACAGTCAGCTGACAGTTGAGTGACGCAGTACTGAAGAGTTGTTGGACGGGTTGTTTCATGTGCCAGTCTAGTTTCTTGTATTGCATGTTTTCAGTACCTTAACTTTTGGGACTCTAATGTTGAGAGTCCCAAATATTTGGACGAGACTCACTATAGGGACAAACATGTGGTTCTTGTCAGAGGGCTGGGGTTTGGCTAAGACTTTTAGGGTAGTTTGACCCAGGCTAAAGGGGCTCTCACCACTTTATTTGGCTGTGTTTGATTGAGGAACTCATGAAATAAGAATTCTTATTTCCTGACAATGTCAGAGTATTAAAATATAATAACTTAGCTGTCACACATAATTAAGCACAATCAAAGACGAAAGGGGAAAATTTAGAAATAGTGAAATTTGTAGAAAAAAAATTAAAATTTGCAGAAATTGGGAGACTTGATTTCAACTCCGCTCACATTTTCACATTTTAAATGTATCAGGAAATGGCTATAATTTCATTGCAGTATTTGAAAACTGACTTACTTTCAGTTTGTAGATTTTGCTGTCGGTTGGTCCCTGCTTGTTTTGCTTGTCTTTGATTCTTGCGATGATTTCGGACAGCGTGGTGATGTTTTGGATCGTGAGGGGAATCGTCTCACCGGTGGGGCATTTGATGAGGATCGTCAGAGACTTTGTTTGTATGATCTGCAGGAGAAAAAAAAAGAAATAAATCCTTCAGAATGTCACTTTAAGACTTTTGCCTGAACTCAGCAAGTTCAAATATGCATGGAGTGGAATTTTGTTTGGGGGGGGGGGATGGTGGCATGCCCCCCCCCCCCCCCCCCCCCCCCCCCCCCCCCCCCGAAAGAGTCACCCCACCAAAAAAAAAGGCGGTTTCAAATATTTGGGTTTTTTTGAATGCCACTTATTGTCAGTCCACCTATTGTATTTAAAAAATTTCATTCTAAAATATTCATCAATTATTTGTCAAAACACCTGAACACAGAAGGTTAAAAATAAGTAGAATTACAAATGTAGGCCAAGTTTCTCTAAAGTCCCTTTCACTTCCTTTTTCCCGCCCGCCTCCATTTTCCCCCTTTTTTTCTCTCTTCAATTTATACATTTGCAATACATTTTGCACATAATTGTCAATATATTGTCTTTTTATTTGTTTCCAATGAATTTGTAGCTGGCATGTAGAAAGGACTACGGCTTCTTAGGACACAATTTTGTAGATCAGCAAAAGAGTCGAGAAAAATAGAAGAATCCATCTACCATCTTGGAAAATCCGCCATCTTTTGGGGGACAAAAAGAAGACGAAAAAAACGCCGGCTTCCTTCATTTTTTCCGACCTTATTTTCTTCCGCTGGTTTTGTTTAACTTCTAACAATGAAGGATCTTTTATGTTGGATTCCTTAGTGACCCACACTAAGGATGTGACTTTGCGTTTAAATTTGTTAACGTTTAGAAAAAAATTTAAGAACCGTTTTTCAACGTTTTAAACGTTTAGCCATTCACAAAGGCTAATGCATGTTCATTATGTTTGCAGACCAGCGTCATTGACATGATAAAAAAGCAGTGGTAGTCATTGAAAAAGTAAAAACTTAACCGTGTGCCCCAAATGTAATCAAGTTAAGTAATAAAGTACTTTGAAGGTTTTGTAAATTAAAAAGGTGCTATGCAGGTTTAAAGGGAATATACATCATTTGCTTTTGCTGTAATTTTCAGAAATGGATGGAATTGGGGGGTTGGAAATATATAAGAAATATAGTTACACTGACTTTTTTGAGGTTTTGAGTTCGAAAATGCTATAAAACCAAGAAAAACAATCATTTTCCTGTAGCCTGGTTCCCTGACTCCATATAAGAAGAAACAGAGCAGTTTAAATACATTGGGGAATTGTTAGGTCAGGGAACCAGTCTAGCTGGCTTGTACCCGTTCATAGGTGTGTAATCGATTGCAAACAAGTGCGATGGTCAATTGGGGCCAGTATTTGAAAAAAAACCAGTTTTTTCCAACGCTGATCGGCTGATCAGCATTGGAAATTGATACAAAAATAGCACTTTTCTTGAAAATGACAGTATACCAGGTGCCATGATTTTACAGGATGCTTTACACTGTCATTCACTAACAGTCCAGCAAGGTATTTCAAAATGATTTGGTAGTTTTATTTTTTGATGTTTGCAAATGTTGTATTTTCCCTTTAAATCAAAGGAAGACTGGGTGAACATACAGGGTAGGTCCCTTCTTTATAATTCGGGTTTTCGTTTAAACATTTTTTGAAAATTTGTAAATGAATTTAGAATTGTTTTTGTTTAAATGTTTAAACGTCACATCCGTTAACACACACATCCAAGTTTGAGTTCAAAACCTTTCAAGGCCTGGGCCCAATTTTCCGGCGCTGCTTAACAGTTAGCAGAAAAGTTGTGTTTAGCATAGCAGAAAATTTGCTAACCTTAAGCACTATTTCACGGCGTGGACGTGCTAACGGTCGCGCGTGCATGGAGATTTCTATTGTTACGTCACTAAGTTAAGCAAATTTTTCCTCTGAAGTAAGCGTGCCTTTTGCTGTGCTTATGCTTACAGTCTCCGTGAAATAGACGAAGGCTCTGTTAGCAGAAAATCGTGTGCTTAGCAGCGCCGTGAAATTGGGCCCTGATGGCCTTCGCCCTTGTTACTGGACTTCCTCTTCAACTTCCTGTGAAGCATGCGTAAATCTACAGGATATCCTTGCTGACAAACTATAGGAAATGAACTACGTGTACGTGCGATTTGACACAAATCTGAGTCACTGCACACACGAACACCATGTCCAAACTCTTGTCGATATTTTCTGAATTTAAATATCTTAAATAAAAAAGGACAGAATGTTGCAACATGACGCCACTTTTTTCCTTACATCTAGACAAAAGTCAGTCATTGTAAAAAATATTGCAAATGAAAAGACATGAATCTGGGACAGAGAAACATTTCCAATTTTGTTAGAAAATACTTTCTTGACTCTCCATCATGTCCACAGACTTTGTACGCAACAGCTGAGGTAGCACTGGATACTACACTCTTTCCAATGAAAAGACCAAAATATATACGGGAAAATTATAGGCCTATAAATATAATAAAATGAATAAATCAAGGGGCCTAACACTAAATGTAACAGTTTTAGCATTTTCAGGATATTTTGGTAGCGTTTGTTTCCATTTGACACCAGTGCAACAAATAAACATATCGTCAAAAACTGAAAAATGACAGTCTTCAGACTAGTAGTATTAGAAAACACAATTACAAACATTTTTTTTTATAACTTAAAACTCTTTAGAAGTTGCACTTAAAGTTTAATATTTCTGACAAATAAATGAAATGATGCTCGGGAAAGAATGTTGCATCCTAACACGACATTATTTTGTAAAAATGTTGTCCGACCAGCGTTGGAAATAGATACAAAAATAGCACTTTTCGTGAAACTGACAGCACACCAATGCCATGATTTGACAGGATGCTTTGGACTGTCGTACCAGTGTCTATCAAATATCAAATCATAGTCCAGTAGTACTACAGGTAACTTCGTGATAATTTGGAAGCCTAGTTTTGTTTTTGGATGTTTGCAAATATTCCCTTGAAAATTGAAAACCGTGGAGACATAGACCAACAATTATCAGATTAGTAACAAAATATGTATAACTTAATCTTCCTCTTTCATGTCTTTATCCAACATGTTTACAATAAAAAAAAACCTCAATCATAAGGCAAAATAAAAAAAAAAACATGTTTAGCGTCCTGCCTCTTTGACAAAAAGGAAAGAGGAGGCCCTTTTTTTTTTTTTTTTTTTTCTTCAAAATGGCCGCCCGACACATTTTTCAAGACAACGCGGCCGGGCTATTTTTCAAGATGGTTACCAGCTTTTTCCAAAATGGCCGCCACTTGGACTCATTGACTATTTCCACAGCTTTATACACGGTATAAAAGTCTAAAAATACGATTTCTTTCGTCAGAGATCGTTAAAATTTATCAATTTTTGTCTTTTAAAAAAAAAAAAAAAAAAAAAAAAAAAAGGAGGCGGCCTCTAAAAAGGAAGCGGGCGGGGACGCTAAACATGTTTTTTTTTTTTACTTCGCCTAAAATAGTCATGAATGCATACCAAGTAATAAAGTTAAGTTTCTGACATATTACTCAAATGAAATTCGCCAATCAACAGACTTACGTCAGCTTTTAGAATAGTCTCCGGTCGAACTCCGAGATAGTCCATGGTGTGATCTTTGTTGAGCACCTTGCCCGTGTATTTCAGCCGTAAACAGCTCGCAGACACCCCTTCCTCCGTCGCGACCTTCTCGCACACGGCTCGTACCGTCTCGTAGGCCGACACGGGCATGTGGAAAACACGACCCGAAGTCAACTTAATGTACACATCGAGCAACATTTTTGTAGCCTCAAGTTACGCCAAAGGTGTTAGTGATGTTTTCGAACTGGTTGCACTTCCAGATTCTGAAGGGAAGCGGCCAAAATCCGTGTTTTTGTAGACGGATGTGTTGGAAGTGTTGCTCCATTTTGGGAACCTCCAGTTTTAAAGTGGAAGCCCTGTGCTATATTTAGCAGCCAATCAGAAACGTCGATAGGATAGATGATGTCATTCCCAAAATAGACATACACCTCAAACTGTTGTTGTGGGTGGGGCTACTTCGTGATGTTGTGACGATTTTGAGGGTTAAAATTGACCAACGAAGTATTTATTTTCTCTACTTTATCAGTAGTGATAAATAAAAATAATTAAATAGCACTTCCTCCATGATTCAACGTGCAATTAAATTGCCAGCCCGATCCCCGCCCCCGCCCCACCCCCCAAAAAAACAAATTCGGCCACCAAAATATACAGCACTAGGGTATTTTTTCTCTCTGGGTTGTTTAATATCACTAAATTTTAATATCTACGTTTTCCAATTCTGTTTCGACATAATTTTTCGACTTCTTATAAGTTTTGACAGTAATGCATGGTCACCTAGTCTGACATTTAAACCCGCTGGAAAAAGAATGGCACTCTTGCGACCGCACTTGCCAAATATCATCGATAGAGGGCGCAAGTTAGGGAAAATGGACGCCGACACGAGATGAAGCCCGCGGTCTGATCGCCTACTTTCAGCTACATTTCACGACGAATCGCTCGCAATTTCATGATTTTTACCGCCATGGAGGAAGCAAAGAAATCAAAACTGTTCATCGCTTCAGCCATTGAGCTGAGAGATGACCTTGAGGAGGTATTATTTTCGATATTGGTCTCGTGTTGGTCAAGCATGATAATGGGCAATTCGGTCGCCATAAACTTTGTGTATGCTGGCATCAGGCTGTTGAGTTTTGTGTTGTTACCCATTTATAAACAGCTGCGCGCTGCGCGGCCTGTGTGGTGAATTTTGCGAGCAACTTTTTTTTTACATTTTGCGAAAACAAAAGGTTAAACCAGGAAACAAGTTTGTAATTTTAGAGTATGATATTGATATGGATACAAATTTTAATGACTAAAATTATTTGGCTATTTCCTAGCCCATTTTGGCATGTTTGGGAAATTTCGGTTTGACCCTTTTTTGTTGTTGTTGAGGGAGATTGGTTTGTTTATTTTCTTTGGTTTATTCTTGAGAATTGGTTGAGCCCTACCTTTCAGAACAAGATTTTGGTTGCTGTTTTCACTATCACATCATTTAAATTATAATATTAATACTATTAAATCGTCATGACTGTAATTGTAAACCTAAGAAAAAGCTGTCAAATTTTATCTTGTTAAAAGTGCCAGATCTGTGAACATGGTGAAAGTTTGCTTTTTAAATTTTAATTGGGGGGGGGGGTGGGGTGGGGACTAGTACTTGTAATAGGTGTGTAGGTTGACTTTATTTGTCCAAAATATTTTTAAAAGAATGACATTCAGTTTTTAAGGAGCCTGGGAAAGTAAAACCTGCTCAGGCCAAATTAAAAAAAAATCTTGTCCAGCCTTTAAAAAAAAGGAGGCAGGCGCTTTTTTTCCTTCCTCTTTTTTTCCCCCAGATTTTTTCCAAGATGGCGGATGGATTCTTCCATTTTTTTTTACTCTTGTGCCGATACAAAATTGTGTCCAAAGGAGCCGTAACCCTTTCTACATTAGCATCTATTTTGTCAGAAACAATAAGAAGACACTTTGTTGGCAATATATTAAAATGTATTGCAAATGTACAAATTAAAAAATAAATATAAAGGAGGCGGTTGTGAAAGTAGAAGTGGGCGGGGACAAGAAATTGGTTAATTTTTTTCTACATTTCCTTAAATGTTTTAGTGGATGATTTTACTATCATTTACTAGAATTGATTTAATGAGTTTACATATGTATTCCCCCTTGTTTTCTGTTTCGTGTTTTTTTTTTAGAAAATGGAGAAAGGTTACGAGTTTGTTACCAAGGTGATGGGAAGCTCATCTGAGAGGGAGGCTCACGATTCCTTAAATGCGGTGGTGAGTACGAACAAAAATCCATCCAATAATTCAACCTAGGCTTTATTTTTTTTCTCACTGAGACAAAAAGTTGGTAGAAAACTTAAGTTAAAATTTGACTTGAGAGCTAACATGATCGCTTATACTCAGAATTGCATTTTTGAATCGTGGAAGTTTTGCAAGTTTTATATTCTGCTAGCTGCTGGCTTCAAATGAAACGAAAGCTGGATGCCTTTGACACAAAGGCCCTCTGCCGTATCAAAGGTATTAATTGGCAGGATTTTGTGAGTAACAGAGATCTCCGTCTTCTCACCAATCAACCTCCGGTCTCGTATCTCATCTTCGCTTCACGTCTTCGGCTGTTTGTGCATGTTGCTCGAACCGATCAACGGATGGAGCCTGCCCTTCTGCTGAAGGAGCATGCCCTTAACTGGCCCCATCCAAGAGGTCGCCCCATTTGCGTTGGACGGACAACTTAGAGGAAGACCTTAGGGCACTGGGGCTGAATCTGTCAGCCGGTTGGAGACTTGCCCAGAACCGGCTGGACTGGAAACTGCATTGTCGAGACGCTACGCTCTTCCCGAGCATGCGGAATTGATGATGATGATGATGGCTTAAAATGCCAATTGTGGAGTTTAGGACACCTCAGTCTTTTCATTCTTATAAAGATTTTGTCGCTCCAAAATGGCATTTACAACCTCAGGCAAAACGTGTATTTTAAAAAAATTCTGAACGGTCTTTTGGGAGAAAACGCGACTTCTTTAACCTGATATTCCAGTTGCGACCGTGCGTATCGACATACTCATGATACACACACGGCTGTCGCCATGTTTGTTTTCAGTGTTCTCCTTTGTCGCCATCGTCGTTTTTGCCTCTTAATTTCCCTCGAAAATCAAAACCCTGCCCTCCTTCCACAAAATTAATCTTTCAGTTAGGCCAAGTAAACAAAAACAGTTGATTGTCCCCACCCGCATCCTATTTTTTATTTGTTATTTTTTTTCCTCACCTCCTTGTATTTCGCTTGACTAAAATACATAGAACATGTTTAACATGAGTATTTTGACTCTACTTACTATTAGGATAGCTAATTAAAAGCTGGCGGTAATTTTGAACTGAAGTTGGCACCATTTTTAATTAATACTTGGCGGCCATCTTGGAAACAAAATAAAAAAAAAAAAAACCAAAAGGCCCTCATCCTCCTCATTTTGCAAAAACCCGGGAGATCAACTGGTTTTTTTTTTACTTGGCCTTATTCAACATGGTTCATTGTCATATAGGTAAGTCCCAAAAGTTAAAGAGTAGATTTTCGGTCTCTTGTTTTAATGGGGTTGTAACTCCACAATCTCCCTTAAAACAGGAGATTTTTTTGGGGGGGTTACTATTAGTATTTTGTTTCTGGATGCCTGTTTTAATTCTCTGTCACAGAGTCGGTCTCATAATTGTAAACCTAAAAGTGTTTTGGTTTAAAAAAATTTACATTATTTTTTCGTCAACAGGTTTGTAAAGGGATGAAAGAACACGAAGATATCACATTAGGACTCCTGTACAGTATCTTGACTAGCCCGACCACTGCTCCAAAGGTAGAAACAGATTCTTATTTGTATTTATTTATTTTTTATTTAAATCCATCGTTATCCCTACCCTTCCCAAATCTTTCAAAATCCTCTTTGCAAAATGGAGGATTTTGCAGGATTGAGGCTATATGGCAAAAACGTGTGGCAGATTTTGGAGGATGCACTGTGTCAAGGTCTTGGGCCGGGCCTTGTGTTGTTTATGCTCAGCCGTGCATGAATATTTAGGCCTAGATTATACCTGAAATCCTCCGCACTGCTCCAGGATGTCACTGGCTCTGCCTTAACATATTGACAGTGATTGCTGGAGGATTTTGCAGGATTGAGGCAGTGGTCACCCCACCATGGACCGCACTCAAGAAATAACGGGGGATTTTGCAGGATTGAGGTTGCATCCTAGCAAAAATGTCCAGGGAGTTAGGGTTAAATTTGGTTCCTTTTTGATATCATAATGTTGTAATGTCGAGACTTAGCATGCAGTGCCTATACATTTTATTTCAAGTAATTGCAAAAACCTCGTTGCCTTTTTTACATGGAGGCAGTTGGAGGATTTTACAAGATTGAGGTTGCATCCTAGCAAAAATGCCTAGGGAGTTAGAGTTAAATTTTGTTCCTTTTTACCATCATAATGTTGTAATGTCGAGACTTACATGCAGTGCCTATAAATTTTATTTTAATGAATTGCCAAAACCTTGTATTAAACCATTTGTTTTCATCTTTTCTGTTGTAGACTTATCGAGACTTGGCACTTATATCCAGAGATGGGTTGTCCGTTGCTTGGACCAAACTGAATCAGATCGTCGTCGATAAATACACAAAGCTTCAAGATGGCGTCCGGACGCAGGTAGGCAAACTATGTTTCTCTATTCAGTCGCAACCATCATAAGTCCATCCCAAGTCCATCCCAAGTCCATCCCAAGTCCATCACAAGTCCAACACAAGCCCATCACAAGTCCATCACAAGCCTATCACAAGTCCATTCCAAGTCCATCACAAGCCCATCACAAGCCCATCAGAAGCCCATCCAAAGTCCATCCCAAGTCCATCATCAGAAATCCATTACAAGCCCGTCACAAGTCCAATCACAAGCCCGTCACAAGTCCATCACAAGTCCATCACAAGTCCATCACAAGCCCATCACAAGCCCATCACAAGCCCATCACAAGTCCATCACAAGCCCATCACATGTCCATCACAAATCCATCACAAGCCCATCACAAGTCCATCACAAGCCCATCACAAGCCCATCACAAACCCATCACAAGCCCATCACAAATCCACCAAAGCCCATCACAAGTCCACCAAACCCCATCACAAGTCCATCACAAGTCCATCACAAGCCCATCACAAGCCCATCACAAGCCAATCACAAACCCATCACAAGTCCATCACAAGTCCATCACAAGCCCATCCCAAGTCCATCACAAGCCCATCACAAGTCCATCACAAGCCCATCACAAGCCCATCACAAGTCCATCACAAGCCCATCACAAGCCCATCACAAGTCCACACAGTTAAAAAATACAGCAAAACACTCCATATTGATCT